TACGATGATTTTTCGCCGAGAGATTCGTATTAGCATACATTATACGAAGTTATACGACCTTTTTCTTCAAATGCGAATCTCTCGGCGAAAAATCATCGTATCGAGATGCATAAAAAAGCATTTTAAAGAGGAGACTCTGTACTTTCGTACGCTTTTGATCCCAATAAGCTACAATTTTTTGTTTATACCGTGCACCGTCGCAAACTCGAACCATTATTTTTCAATTTTGCATGCTCGCGCTTTGTCATCCGCCATTTTCAATAAATTTATTTTGCAACATTGAAATAAATTGATTCTTAAAGTAGAGATTTTTAGCTTCATTTCCATATTTTATAGAACTTTCTATCTTTATTATTTACGAAGTTATCGTCAGTTGAAATTTGATGAATTTTTCCCACATTTTCAGTGTACCGCTTTTTTTTCGGGTGAGTGTATAAAGACTTATCGATTCTACAATATTATTTGTTACTCAATATAGCGCATTGTGATTTAGGTGGCTTCAACGTTGTCAAGTTTGGTGACGCGATTGACGTTAAAGGTATTATCTTTCTGGTAACTAGTCGATTGGCCGTTGGTACCAGACATTACGGAAATTTGTACGGGATGAGACTACATCATCCCGGATCCGGAGAGAGTTATTGGTTGCACCAGGATACAACGATGTATCAGGTATACAGCTCGTGCTACGTGAGGATCGGTATAATTCGTTTTTCACAATTTTCACGATATACTTCATTCTCAGGTGCAAGAAAAGTACGAGCGAAAGTATCCGCACTGCGAATGGAGGTACGAGCTTAGAGTGCGTTACCTTCCTCAGAACCTAAATGATCTCTATGAAAGGACAAAGTCACATTTTACTACTATTACGATCAGGTGCGACAATATATCGATTTATAATTAATCAGATGCGAGGAAAGATGTTGAATTTGATTTTCAGAAATAAATCACAAAATTATATTTCTCTGTTCAGGTGCGAAACGATTACTTGCTTGCGAATCATGCCGCTCTCGATCAGGATGTCGCGGTTCAATTGTGCTGCCTGGAGATTCGCTATTTCTTCAAGGACATGCCGCAAATTGCCTTGGACAAAAAGAGCAATCTGGAGTACCTGGAGCGTGAGGTAGAGCTTTTTCTTTCAAGCGGCAAATCTCCGCCCGCGACAACAACTACAATTCAATGGCAGCTATTCACGCGCGCGTTTACTCATCCTTTTTCGCTTACACAACAGAAATGGCTTAAACAAACAGAACGATTCGTTCTTTTCACAGGTCGGCCTGCACAAGTTTTTGCCACGCTCCGTGCTGAACGGAATGAAGCCGAAGGCGCTCCGAAAATTAATACAGCAGCATTTTAAGAAAGTTGCAGCGTTATCCGAGCTCGAATGTATGTTCAAATTCTTCGATTTGTTGCGGGCGCATTATCGCTTCGATCAGGAAAGATTTATATGCGCCTTAGGGGTAAGCGGAGTAAGATATATGTATGATAGATGTACATGTAATATGTCTAGCTTTACACTTTTCATATACAATACTTAATTATATTCGAGGTGCTTAATTTTGTTGTAATCTGTATTCCGACACTTGTAGTCGAGCTGGTCAATACCCGTAGAACTAGTCATCGGGCCAGACTTGGGTATATCTTACATGGCTCATCGAGGGGGGACAGTGGTACGTTTCCAAGTTACATACGCAGCTTTTTCATAGTAATCTTACAATTGTGTCGTTGTGTTCTCAGAATTAAAAGCTTTGATTACAGCCGACTAGGATGGCAGAGTTCTCGCAAATACAATCTATTCAGACATTGGTGTCGGATTGCAAAGAACATGCAAAGGCGTGCATTAAATTAAGGGTCGCAGGTGCCGCGGAGACTCTTAGCATTACTTGTTCCAGTCTGGATCAAGCAGAGAGCCTTGCGGATTTAATCGATGGATATTGTCGGCTAGTCAAAGGCAGCAACACCTCACTGTGGAATAGAAAAGGTGAGAATAAAAAATATTATTATTGTGTTACTGCTCTAAAAAGGAATTGAAAGATTTCTTTCAAATAAATTTTAAAGGCTTCGACTTTTCCAATCCTCTCTTAAAAAGTAGAAATACAATACACAAATTACATGTTCAATAAGCGTTTATTCTATTAATGTTAAAAAAAATTAAGTTTCTTCATTTTATATTCGCAAGCTGGATCGTGGAAAAATTATCCCTGTCCGTGCAAAGGTAAACAAACGAAGGGCTCCGTTTTGTATTCGAGAATTTGCCAGTGACATTATTTCTCATTAATGCACAAATGTTTTATCACAGATGCACAACCGCCAAAATACAGGCAAGATGGTGCCAGTAGTCCAGCAGAGAAAAACGCGGGTAAAACTGGAACTATCTTGTCCGAAGATTATGCAGAGATTGTCGACGAGGAAGGAGACTACTCGACACCAGCCAGTAAGTACATGTTCTGTTTTGTCCTCATTTAGTCTAATAGAATCGTAACGGAAAATGTCAAAGAAGATATTTGAAATGACATTCAATCTTGTTTATAGCCCGAGACTACGAAATTGTTCGAAATCAAGTGGAATTAGGTGAAATTATAGGGGAAGGTCAATTTGGTAACGTCCATAAGGGCTCGTATAAAGGAAGAGACGGTCAGACAATCGCCGTTGCCGTCAAGACCTGCAAAGTTGATGCGGATCTCGCCACTGCCGAAAAGTTCCTCGAAGAAGCTTGTACGAAATCTAAATAATAAATCATATACTTGTTGATAATCGTATAAAAGATAAAAAAAGATATAAGCATACAGTTGTTTGAAATAAAAGTCACGTAAATTCCTCGGGGAATAATTTAATTAAATTTCAGATATTATGCAACAGTTTGAACATCCGCACATTATTAGACTGATCGGAGTCTGTTCAGAGGCGCCAATTTGGCTTGTGATGGAGTTAGCCAGACTCGGTGAGATGCGTGCTTATCTGCAGTCTAATAAACATCGTCTAGACCTTGCCACACTTCTATTGTATACCTTCCAATTGAGTACTGCCCTGTCGTATCTGGAAAGCAAAAAATTCGTCCACAGGTATAAATGAAATCTGCTTATTACTTTATATCGAATGTATCGAATATGTAGCTTAATATCCGCAATCTCATTGCAGAGATATCGCTGCGAGAAACGTGCTAGTTTCGTCGCACAATTGCGTCAAACTAGCGGACTTTGGCCTTAGTAGATGGGTGGAAGATCAGAGTTATTACACCGCGAGCAAGTGTAAGCTGCCAATCAAGTGGATGGCACCGGAAAGCATAAACTTTCGACGATTTACGACTTCGTCCGACGTTTGGATGTTTGGTTAGCGTTCATTAGGATTAATCGTGTTTCGTATAAATTCATTCCTCTTTAAAGACACGGGAGTGAAACATTGTTCGTCCGGTTGCAGGTGTATGTATGTGGGAGATTTTAATGTTGGGCGTAAAGCCGTTCCAAGGCGTAAAGAATAACGAAGTAATACGCAAGCTGGAAAATGGAGAGAGACTCGCGCTTCCTAATCACTGCCCGCCACGATTGTATTCTCTGATGTCTCAATGTTGGAGCTACGAACCTAGCAAGAGACCAACGTTTAAGGAGATTAGAGAAACTTTACAGTGAGTGTGCGGTACTAATGTTTGCAGTACATACGACACTTTTTGGACACGGCATATATTATATGTTCTATTAAATTATTATAGTGAAATCTTGTTAGAGGAGAAACATCAGCAACAAGAGACGATGAGACGGGAGAACAGAAGAGTACAAGCCATGTCTTGGGGTACGTATGTAGTCAGAGAAGTTGTCTTATAACGATATAAGATTAATAATAGTATTTTCTTCCTTTCTTTTCCAAAATGCATATGTCACGGTGGAACGATGAGTATGTCATACCGATTGCATCTACAAATTAGATCGTCTTGTAGGTGCAGACGATGTGCCACCACCGAAACCTTCCCGGCAACCGCAAAACACAACGGATCAGTCGCAATTGTCCGCATCCGCAGCGCCGGTATCCACATACATCGTGGCGCAGAGTCCCGAGGTTCTTGCGCAACTTCTCAAGGACAACCAAGCCAGAGGGGTATGTCCCTCCGTATACACGACACCCGCGTCCCCTTTCAACACCCTGGCGGTGCAGTTTCAGGATGAAGATCAAATCCTGACTACTGCTGTCGTGTCCGACCTGCCCTTTTTCGATCCCGCGCTCTCCGAGCCGCCGTCTATCACCACGCACGATATGACCCAATCGGGTGGCGATTCCATTCTGTCCGATATCAACTTAGATTCCCTCGACTCCTCGGACAATACTCCTCTCATGTCGAGCCTAAGTATTTCAGACACGGCAGCACAGACGCAGTCGCAGTCGCCCGTCGTCAACCGAAAGCAGCAGAAGGTTAAAGAGATGCAAAACTTGTATGCGGTTAGTTCGAAGGTGGTCGGTAGCATTACGGGGGATCTGTACTCCCCCGTGCAGAAATTCACCGCGTCCAGCGTCGTGCCGCCGCAGCCAACTTCTGCGGCCGCGCCCGCCGCGGTCGCGGGCAACACTTGCGGCGAGATATATGGACCGGTCACTAGTTTCACCCAGAGCTCCGCTATTGTTGGTAATCTCAGTCAGAGCGCTAGCGTAGGTGGTAATTACGGTGAGAATCCCGGTAATTTTGGTCCCAGTAGTTTGGGCAACAATGTTATAATACCGAATAATAGTAGTCAGGTGCAGTTTGTCGCGAGTGGCTCGCATGCTCAAAGCCAGCCGATTAATTACGGTAACTTTATGGCTAGTAACAGTACGAGCCAGATAGGTGGTTTTGGTGGCGGTCAGTCCACAAATCAGAATGCGAGCGGTGCGCAGAGTGCTGGCAATAGTAGTAATAGTGGCGGTGGTGGTGGTGGTGGTGGCGGCAGCGGCGTCGGCGGCGGCGGTGGCGGTGGCGGTGGTGGTGGTGGTAATAGTAACAGCAGCAGCAGCAGCAACAGCAGCAATAGCAGCAGCAATAATAGCAGCACTGTTGCTTATCCTCGTAACATTAGCTCGACGATTGTGGTTAATTCCACGTCGAACGTAGAGTGTTTGTACGGACCGGTTCTCAAGTTTCGCGCGCAGAATGCCCAGCCTGCCGCGGTCGAGTTGAAGCCTGTCGGCGCGACAGTTGGAAATTACGGCCAAACCGGAAGAAACAATCTGGTGATGCAAAATCCACAGTCGCAGTCGAATTTGTATTCGCACAATTATCCACATCAACAAATCTACTCGAATATCGTTCAATCGGGGCAGCAAGCCATGTATCTGCCGCAAATGCAACACGTGCAAAATATTGCTCGACAAAACGCCGTTCCACAGGCCGTATCGTATACAGCGATACAACACACCAGTCAACAGTCCCAATTGAGCAGTTCCAATCCCATTTACACGACTCATGCTACATCCGTGTCGGTGGTTCAAGCGCACATTCCAATTTACGCTCAGCAAGCGCAGCCCGGAATCGGCAACCAGTCAGTAACTTGTCAAGTAACAGGCGTGAATCAGTCAGCCAATGTTGGGATAATGCAAGCCTCCTCCGTTCCGTCACACTTTGTCACGCTGTCTTCCGCGACTCAGCAAAATATTCATTCGATTCCATCCGGTGGCTACATGGTGGATCAACAGCAACCGAGTTCCCTCGGCGCGATAGATCTCGCTCAAGTGCATGCTAATGTTGGCAGTGTAATGACGAGCACCGTTAGTGCGCATCAACAGCAAATATCGCAGTCTCAAATGGCCAGCGGCGTCGCGAAAGCGACAAACATGCCGCAAATGGCGACAGGCGTCGCCAAGATCACCACGTTCGTGACGTCGCAAAAGCAAGATGAACAGTTGACGAACTCTACAGACGGCACTCTCTCCGGCTCGCTGATCTCTTCCGCTGTCAGCGACAGCACCATGTCGTCTAGCAGCTCGATGACAGAGGAGGCACAACAAGATCAGGTTTGACCATGCCTCCTAGGAATGTGCAAAACGCATCTTCTATATTTGCCGCGCCACATCTTGTTTTGGTTTTCCACCTGTTCTGCAACACTTGCGCAACACACTATACCCCAATTAGAACTCAGATGTATATGTACATACGTTATATGTGCTTCTCTATGATATATGGTATATGCACACGATACGGACTATTCCTACTTTGTTGCAATGCGACGAGACTCTTATTTCTAGTGGAAATCTTGACTTGCCGCTCAGTAGGCTAATCAGTTTTGCATGAAGAATGGATGTCATTGATGAATTGTTATAGTAATCATTTCAACTGCATGTACGAATGCACTCTATTTCTGTTTTAATTTGCATTTCGAGAAATATGCATCTCTTTAATTTTTACTGTACATGCAACATGTGTTGTATATTACCGGAAAATAATATATTGTAACATAAACCATTATACAAAATTATCACCCCAAATTTTATAATATTAGTTAGCAATAAATATCGGATGAGAATAAATTTGATTTCTAATACAATAACATCTCCACTGTTTTAGAGGAGTGTGCATTCGCAATTGTTTGACAATTCGACTGACAATTTTAACAACGGCGTTGACGACGAACAAAAGCTACTGGAACAACGTTTGTTGGAGCAACAACGACAGTCTGAAGAAGACAGCCGCTGGCTCGCGAGAGAAGAAGTACGTATATTAAATAAACTTGACAATCTGGACGAAGCGTTCGTTATCAATTCAAATGATTCAAACCTTGTTTTTCTTATTCTCATTACAACAGAAACGTTTATCGATCGCTACGAGTGGTGATGAAAGTGCTAGTCCCCCGGTTCCACGATCAGTTACTCAGTCACCAAGCCATGAGCCACATTCTGCCAACACCGGCTCTCTTGGCTCGGACAAAAGTTCCGATAAAGTGATTGTAGTCAAAGTAAGCCAATTTATAATCTTATCGGGGCGAATCTTATTCGAGGCGAATTACTCATCGATATTTCTTTTGCAGAAAATGGAACCCACACCCACTGCAGATTTAGACAGAACTAATGATAAAGTATACGACTGTACGACAAGTGTCGTTCGTGCAGTTATGTCGCTGTCACAAGGTAAGAATGCATGCATCGAGAATGAAATATATAAATATATGTGTGTACAAAGTTTTCTGTGTCTTTACGGTTCTAAAAATACGAAAGCTCTATTGTAATACGCAAAGTCATATACAATAAAGAGCATGTAAATTGCAGGTGTTCAACAGAGCAAGGCTGATCAGTATCTAGAACTAGTGCGTAGAGTAGGTGTCGAATTAAGAGCACTACTGTCGTCTGTGGACGCTCTCGTAGAAATATTACCAATATCCGCGCATCGCGAGGTGGAAATGGCGCATAAAGTATTAAGTAAAGATATGGCTGAACTAGTGACTGCTATGAAACTGGCGCAAAATTACAGTGCCACTACGTTAGACGGCGAATATCGCAAGTAACTATCTTTCTCGAATCACTTGCAAATAGATACATACATTATACTACTAATTAATACATGATAAATGTTCTTTTAGGGGAATGCTTTCTGCAGCTCACATCTTGGCAATGGACGCAAAGAATCTCTTAGACGTCATCGATTCTATCCGCATTCGTTATCCGTACGTAGATACTCAGATTTGCCAAAGGCAGACTGATATTATCAACAGAACGCGGGAATGCACACCGGAAAATCGCATTCGCTCGAGTCAATCCGGTGAGCAGCTTCTAAGGAGAAGTCAATCGAGTGAACGTCAGGGAACGACTTTCAGACAAAGCCAAAGTGGCGACCTATTGCATAGAATGGGTCAATCTGTGGATCGATCTTTACCAGTAAGTTGAATATCATTGACATTAATGTGATTCTTTGAAATTCATACGCAGATGTTATAGAAATTATAATGCGATTGAATAATGTCGTTACTCAGGGAAGCCAATCCGATCTCAATTCCGGCAGCAGCTTAGAAAGAAGAAATAATATAGTAACCAATAGTCTTGAACGTAATTCAACAGCGAGAAGACATATCGCCACCAACAGTTTGGAAAGAAAGAGACCTTCGTTGACATGCAACACGGGGTCTATGAATAATTCCGTCAATTTGCCGCCAATGATGCCAGTCACTTGTAATTTGGTTCAGACTGTTATGCATCCGAGTCAATCGGTTACAACCGGCATCAATCAACAGACGGTGTTTGCGGCCAACAGTAAAGCCACAAACGAAACTCCGACAAATGACAGTTAACAAGGAGGTGCCTTGAAGGTAAGGTAAGGTAAATAATAATCGCGCGAAATGTGTGTCTCCTTGTAAAAACAATATTCAAACGATTGTCATTTATCATTGAATATAAACTCTGATACTATTAAGTACATACTGATTCTAGGACTACTTGGAATCATTGCTTAGTATGTACATAAATACACAAGTAGAGACGACATTATCCTACCAAATGTGTTACCCGTCTGTACACATTTACAACGGGAGATCTGATATTTGTGCTTTTTCAGCTCTTTTTAACATTTAAACATGCAGGCACTTTATCCAAGCGTACTTATGGGTAGGACAGTATTCGTTAGTTGTAGTAGTAGTAAATAGTAGGAAGTTTATCGCTAAAGAATTTAAGTCACAGCTGTAATGATATCACAACTCCAAAGCATTAGGATTATCGTTACTCTATATTTGTTATATGATGACTGTGTGTACGAGGTGACGCAAAGTTACGTTTTGCCGTAAAGAGGCAGGCAACGATTTATTTATAATTAACATTGACATTATTACGTTATTACGCGAAAGGTCAATTTATTCACACATTTGCTCCGCGAATTCAATTAAATTATTATGTTTGCAAATTTTTGTTTATTTTACTTGTGTCATCTCGTGATCAGTTGACAATATATACGTACATACAAACGTATTTTAGATGACGAGAAAGGAAAGGGAGTATGTATGTATATATTTATAAATATATATTTAAACGAACAGCATTTTCTCTCTTCGAACAATATTGCGCGGGAATATAATTTCTTGTAGGACATAATCTTACAATGTTGTTTTTACTGCAAGTTCGTAATTTCATAGTCTATTTCTTATCTATAGGAGTACTATGAAGAGTGATTATAATGTAAAAAGAGGGACTGAATGTTATTTCTTAGATAATTATTTAATGATTCATACCAGTTTGCAACATTTATATATGAAATGTTTTATAAAAGATAAAAATCATCAACGGCGAGTCAGTTCCTACGAGATATTTTTAGCAAGTTTTCATCTTTACATAAGAATACCATAGCTCATCAATACAGTTTACAGTTTGCAATATTGCATTTACAAAAAATTCGCAGTTGAATAGTCAAATTATACTATAGATAAAAATAATACTCCACTTTTCGCACAAATCCTTTTTATGTTGCTGGAGAATTCAACCTCATTTTTGCCAGGAATGTCTTTTTAGGATTCCGGAATATCATAATCATTGTATGTGTGTGAAAGAAATAGGAGGGGGGAGGGGGCATATATATATCTTATACGCTCAGTTATAATTGGCGTGAATGTGAAATCTTTATAGTTTGCGAGTTGTAAATTTTACATCTTAAATGGTATGTGGCTTTAAAGATTCATGTGCCAAGACGTGCTTGTACGCCCGAAAGAAAAGGATATAACATTTGTGTGTTGTACATTTCCTAACATAGGAATTGCTATCCCAGCAACTCATAATGAATATTTATAATTATTTACAGCTTACTTTTCCAGACATAAGAAAACGCGAATATCCAACTCACATTTGTTTAATTTGTGCTAAAACACATATGTTACATAATTAATATTTATATTTGAAAAAACACATTGTTATTAATTAAATTAATTTTTTTCAGGAATCTTTTTCATCACTTTTGTTGCAAATATTTGTAATATTATTCATATAACAGCGTCAGATATTAAGAAAAATTTGATTTCAATAATAGCAAAATAAGATGACAATTTTACAATCGACGGGATAACAAGAATTATTCGTAGTCATTGAAATTAATAATGATTCTCTAATCTAACGTTATGGTCTTTTGATGAGCGATGAGATAATAATAATAATAATAATGATAATACTAATAATAATAATAATAATAATAATACACCGTACAAGGTTTGACAATAAAGTTTCAGATTTAATTTTTTTTCCGCCGACGTGGCAATGTTGAAACGAAACTTTCGTCACAGCTATCTAGTCTGATCCCGCTTTATTCGCGTTCCAAGTTTCCAGACTATTGGGGTTTCCTTGCTCGTGCAGGTTTATTCTTGTAAAGCCTCATATGGTGCAGAAAGCGCGTTACGAAATTGCGTTGTCATAAATTTTATATCATGGCAATGCTTCTATGCATTCCTACTTGATCTCTCGCTCGTTATAAATACGTTTTACAACTCATGTTATTTCCCAAATTAAAAAGTTATAAAAGGAAAGCATTTTGGGATAGTATAACAATCCAAGTAAACGTAATACAGGTTTTGAAAGGTATTTTTCAGAAAATGAGTTTTAGAAAAATGCTACGGAGCATGGATGTCATTCCCATACATGTGTACGATTCCAAGGAGCTAACTTTGAAGGAGATAAGCTGACGTTTTTGCAATTTTAAAAATAAATTGTTTTTTAAATCGACAACTAAAACTTTATTGTCGGACCTTGTATCACAAATAATTTTGCTGTTACATCAGTGAAACACAGAGTGATAAAAGTAAATCATATGTAATCTCATTTCATCTTAAAAATATGTATTTATAAATTGTGTAAATGTAACTCTGTATCATGATGAGGAGTAAAATAAACTGCGCGTATGATTTCAACATTACAGACAATTCGGAAATATTGTGATATTGTCGTAATTGATATAATTAACTAGCGACACACATGTATCAATGTATTCTAAGGTAGTTAAATGCACACAACCTGCAGCAGTTACAGCTTCAACACATCATTTGCCATGTTTTGATCCGTAATATTTTAGTCCATTTTTTGTTGAACATCTAGCATACTTTGTTAGGAGTGCATTAACGTTCATTGTACCTTTTGTAAAACGCCTAAAAGAGAAGATTACATAAAACTCGAAGCAATTAGGACACGGTGCTTTCTTTTTTACTTACATAATATAAGGTGTTATTTCTTCAGCAGTCCATTTAGCCTTGATTTGAAAAAGTTCATTAAGTCTCTTGTGGATGTTATTGGATAGGTCGGCCTCTGGACAAGATACAACCTCCTTCTGCATCTTTGAAGCATTGTACGTTACAAGAGCTGCTCCACATAAATATTCTTCTTTCAGCTGCATCTCTAGAGAACCGTGAACAATTATCAATTTATGATTAAAAAAAAGATTTTCTAGCGTATTCATTATTCCAAGCTTGTTAATTACATACTTTCAGGAATTCCAATAGTCCATGTCTCCATAAATTCTTTGTATTCAGTAACAGGAGAAGCAGCAAGAAGAATCCTTGCTATCATTGCACAACATTTTCTTTCATCATATCTATGTAACAGATTACATATTTAGGAAATATAAATTCTCAGTTCAACTTTATTAAATCTCCAATTATTGACTATTAAGTGTATTATGCACATATACATACATGTACAATGGACTACCATCAATTTTCGTTTTCGTGCTCACTTGTGTATACTTTTCGAATATAGCATTAAATACTGGTTCATGAATAAGTTCTTTTAGGCATTCATAAGTGCTCTCCTTATCTACTTCATCAAGTTCCCAAGACTGTTCTCCAAAATAATCCAACATCAAATTCAGGCTCCTTGCTTCTACATCGAATGATACGAGACGTAAATAACCTTAATGCAAAATTTTAAATTAAACAATGTTATTTGTATGAATGAAATAATTTTAATATAATGAAAACAAATAAGATTATTACCGTTTATGTCGGCTATTAAAAAATCTGCTAAAGCCTGTTTCAATTCATGATCACTTGCTTGTAATTCAGTTTGTAATTTTTCCCAACTGTACAATGTTTTTGGGTTTATCATAGATTCATATTCTAATCCATTAAAGGATGATGAATTGAGAAAAGTAGACAAATTTGTCAGATTAGGCTTGGTTTCCTTCACCTTAAACATTTTAAACAAATAGAATTATATGTTTGTTGTGTAACTCACACACACATTTCATTTATATATTATTAATCATAAGATGTCGCAAGTACCTCATAATATGAGGTAAATATTTTCTTTATATTTCGCCTTCCTATAATTCTCTCGGTTACTTCCTCTACATTTGTTGCTTGGTTTAGCTTCAAGTTTGGTACCAATAACCAAGAATTGGATATCTCTGCCTCTTTGACTTCATATGTCCGAGTTTTTGTACACAGTATAGCATCATCATGCTTGTTACCACGAAAAGATATTCTATCATCATAAAATTATTTATCATTTTGCTCTGCAGAATTGGAATTGTATTGTCAGTGTTCAAAATGGATATCGATTCTATGAAATTTGAAAGTTTTAATAATTGCAAATTGTAAAGGAACGTACATGTCTCCCTTGTTTAATGTTTCCAATATGTGATTATCCACTTCTAATAACATCAAATTGTCAATTTTGTAATTTTGCGTGGAATATAGACATTGTGTTACAATATTTAAATCGTTCTCCTTGATTGCAGCCAGCTCCAAAATCTGACAAACATCCTCCTTTGTGCGGACGTCTCTTACACGCAGAAAAAGACAACAATATAGAATATTATTATAATGCACACACGCACACACACATACATGTATATATAGAAATCACATATCATATAAGGTGATTTCTAATTTCTATTGAACTCATTTACCCTCCATCAACAGTTTCCACTAATAAATTAACAGACTCCATAAAATCTGTTTCTCTTCTTTTGTTGACAACAAAATAAATTTCAATCTGTATTATACGTATGCTTTTGTAAACACAGGTGTAAAAACGCAGACACGCCTTTTAGCGTACAACTGAGAAACAAGCAACTCAAGAAATTTATTAGCTCTACCGATAAGTCAACATCTGGTGACCTCTAGTAATCTCTTGCGGTATCTTGGTGTCATTTACCATTGCCGCGGTAATGATGGCGCACGAAATTGGTGAGTGTCAAGTGGTTCGGAGATACGTAAGTAATGTTTTTTCTTTTCCCGTCATTTTCTTTTTTCGTGAAATGACAAAACGCATGTCAAGAATGCGTATTAATATCGGGTGTGCTGTGCAAAGTATCGTCCGTGCATTGGGACACGTTAAAATGCGTATCGGAAGTGCAAAATGAGTGTCATGCGTGTGTGTTATATGAAATACATGAAGAGAATGTCCGGAGTGTCGTTAAAAGTATTGCGATTGTCGTATATATTTCGATAATTAGAGCACGCGCGCGATCGTAATCATATCTTTGCTATCGAGAAATAGTTACGCAGGAGCTAGAGAGAAAGAGGCTCAGGAGAATCATCGAGCAGAGAGAGAACGACGGTGGAGCCACCATATATATAATTTCTTATGAATAGGAGTGAATATAATTTCTTATTTACTCAATTATTTTTAAAATATATTAATCATTTTGAGTTTTGTTATAATTTTTTATTTGATATATTTGTATTTTACAGATCAACGTATGTGTGTGTGAACAATAATTTTGTAGCAGCTCATCGATTGCCGGTGAGTCAAATTATTTTTATTTTAATCTTTTAATTTGGATACAATTTTGAATGCAATTGTGATGGACACCTGAAGAGAGAGGCCGTGGTCATATAAACATGTATGGAATATACCTTGCATCAAATATACTTGTGCTTTTTTACAATTGCTTGTCTGATAAACCTCAACTTATTGTCAGAGGAAAGCAAACAACATCTTGCCGTCGTGATCTTTTAAATAATTAACAAGTAGTCGTTGCGGCTAAAATAATAAAATCTGGCCAAAATTGTATAAAGATAATTGCAAACTTATTTTGATCTTGAAAACGGTAAACAATTATATTAATTACGAGTGGTATTTGCACACGAAGCTTACTGACTATATTATTTCTGATTATGTGATTATGTGGAAAAAATTTACTCCAATAATTACATTACAATTATTGAAATAAACTATATATAATATCGATAATTTTATTTCGGGCCGCAGTCTTCTTTCGGGTCGCTTTCTCTTCTTTTTGCGTCATCTTTTTGCGATTTTGCTTACTCCGGGTCCCGAATTTTTTGCTCGCGAAATAAGTTTAAAAAATTTATTGGTGATTTTGGCAAATATCAACGGTTGCTTCTCTTGACACTTCTTCCTTACAGCGTGGCATATGCTGCTCTATATTTTTCGCAGTTTTTTCTCACCCTGGTTCCGCAGGAGCACTGGTACAGAGTAGAGGAAATGGTGTCCTTAAATTTCACACAGAAGAAAAGGTAAAATGTTCATTATATAATATATTACACTCATTAAAATTTTAAACTATATTTTATCGGCGATATTTTTATTACATAGTATTACAATTAAATTGAAATATATATTAATTCAATTCTTATATTAGCTCCTCATAATATTTTTATATATTAATTCTCAAGTAGATTTATAATTTATTAAAATTATATGCGATTACGGAAAATTAGCGTTGTAAAAGTCGTCTAATCGTGCATATTTTATAACACATATATATTATTATCTCTTTACATTACGAGATTATATTATCTTCAAGTGGATATTTTATACATCATAAGATAATACATATTTTCAGAGTGGAGATTACCAAAGAATTATCCGTATTACGATCGATGCCAATGAAAGGAGTTAGATTTTTCCGTTATTCTAAGCTACAGAAAAAATACTCGATCAGTCGAATGGGAGACAAACAAAACCGTAGATTACAGCCGATGGGAATACAATTTCACGCAAATTCCAGCATAGCAACTGAGGTAAAGTATCCTCGACGAATGCGTCATCGCGCATATGAGATATGAGACACAAAGCGTATTAATATTTATGAGTTTTTTTACCAAAAATTGTGCAATTAATTGCGACTGCAATCAATCTTCCGCAATCTCGAAGAGATTATAAAATAAGGCTGTTTGAAAAAAACGTATAGTTAACGTTATATGAATCATATTATTTTAATTTTTTTATTATCCGTTCAATACAGAAGATATTATTTGTGCAGGAAACACAAATAATTTGTCAAACACAGCAACTTTCTTAAAATGTTAAGCAGAATGATATAGTTTGTGAGGATATAAAAAAAATCTTTGTGACAATGTATAATAATAATAATAACAAAAATAATAATAATAATATAAAATTAAGAAATAGTGAAAGGATAGAAAAACAAAATAAAATCTTCTATAAAAAATAAGGCATGAAAAATACAAAATGAAATAATACTCTCAAGTGGAGCATAGAGAACAGTATCGGAAAATGTGAATATTATACGTATAAGACTGCAAATAGGATGTGCATTCTGCACACTGATCCTGAATCCTTTGTGATTAGCTAGATTGGGTATGTGACCAAGAATATCTCATTTCAACGGCACAGTCGATCTTTTTCTGTAGCTCTATTGTCGGTGGTTTCCTTTTTTGGATGGATCGCTGCCTTGGTGCTATGCAGTAGCATTGCACTTTTGGCCTCGATCGCAACTGCAAGCGCAAATATCTTTGCCGTTTGCAGATTTCTTACTGGTCTGGTTTTTGATAATTGCACCAATATTCCGCTGATTATCGGTGAGCACTGTAACGATACGCTTTATAATAATCACTATACTGCTCTTACGGAAATAAATATAAGAATTTCCTTTGATATTCTTATATTCGAATTACGCATGGAAATACGCATCGAATCCATCCAATTGTTTCCAATGTTAAACAGATTTCGCGATACTAAGCCGTGCATAATTTACATTTTTACTGACATAATTTTCATTTTAATGAATGATACTAATTAATATCAGACTACCCGGATCACGCAGATAAACAAATTTACATTTAAACCTTATATTTAGTTAATTGCAAAGAGTATTATAAAATTTCTGTATAATACCTCACAGTTCACATATAGATTTATTATGCATTAGTAAATATTACAACATTTACTAATGCATAAATAAATCTATATGTGAACTGTGAGGTATTATACAGAAATTTTATAATACTCTTTGCAATTAACTAAATATAAGGTTTAAATGTAAATTTGTTTAACTGCGTGATCCGGGTAGTCTGATATTAATTAGTATCATTCATTAAAATGAAAATTATGTCAGTAAAAATGTAAATTATGCACGGCTTAGTATCGCGAAATCTGTTTAACATTGGAAACAATTGGATGGATTCGATGCGTATTTCCATGCGTAATTCGAATATAAGAATATCAAAGGAAATTCTTATATTTATTTCCGTAAGAGCAGTATAGTGATTATTATAAAGCGTATCGTTACAGTGCTCACCGATAATCAGCGGAATATTGGTGCAATTATCAAAAACCAGACCAGTAAGAAATCTGCAAACGGCAAAGATATTTGCGCTTGCAGTTGCGATCGAGGCCAAAAGTGCAATGCTACTGCATAGCACCAAGGCAGCGATCCATCCAAAAAAGGAAACCACCGACAATAGAGCTACAGAAAAAGATCGACTGTGCCGTTGAAATGAGATATTCTTGGTCACATACCCAATCTAGCTAATCACAAAGGATTCAGGATCAGTGTGCAGAATGCACATCCTATTTGCAGTCTTATACGTATAATATTCACATTTTCCGATACTGTCATTTTACACATTTGAATAACATTTTCCCGTTAAGGTGATTTGACGCAAACGGCAGAGTGAATAAAGTAATGCAGAAGCTGTGGCGAATAGCAAGAGTCAACAAGAAAAATCCCGACACTCGCATTTACAAAAATATGTACATCTGTCTTGAGGATACATTTTCCACATTGCGATTTGTTAATTTGTCTTTTAATCTTCTTCTCGTCTAAAAAAGAAATTTTTTAGAATCTGACAATTTTTCAGATTTTATCCATTGAATTTTTATGTATATTTTGCATTAGTTTGAAAATTGCGCGCCATATTTTGTTTCAAAATTTCATGTATCAGATATCGTTATTGACGTGACTATGATAAAATCATAAATTTCGAATTTATGTTCTAGGTCCTTGACGATGATAGCTTTCGACGGTCACGTGTACTCTCTTAAACTGATCCCTAGTTCGGTGTTCGTATCCTTCTCCCTCGCACGGCCGAGTTGCCAGCTGGTCTATTGCTGACGTTGCTGTTGGACCGTCGGGGCTGCAGATTCTGTGGATTTATCACTCTGACCATGACTTGCTTCTTCAGCTTCGCCGAACTATTGTTACAGTTAAGTAAGCACATACACTCAAGCCTCTATGTGTTTTGAATTAAGTATTTGACAGTTATCGCGCATGGTCTCACATATTCTATCGTTTAGTTGCAGCGAAATTGACAATGTCGGTGCTGTCGCGATTTTGCCTGAATATGATTGCCACGTGGGTCTTCGTTACGCTGCTGAATTATTACCGACATCGGGATGCAAGGCGTTTCGTTGACCCACATGATTGGCATAATTGCTCATTCCCTTGCACCGTACGTGGTGGATACTGTGAGTAATTTTTTGTATTTATATAGCAATAGTTGATAGAATTATAATACTATGAAACCACTTGCTAAGAACGGTAAATGATAAATCTGATTAGTCTATTATGACTGTTTTTACAAATTTATTTCAATTTTGATTTGGAAACTTTTGCGCGGGTGAGTATTTAATACGCTCTATCGTACATTCTATTACAATATATCGCTATGTATTTCTTGGCAACATACGTAAAGTTACGCAAACTAAAGTTAAATTTACTGTAAAGACTGTATACAGTAAAAGTGACAATACATCAGAACGGATTTTTTCATCGCGAGCATTCGCTTTTCATCGAGGAACACGAAAATAAATTCGTCTTTTTATTTTATGTCGTTACTGGACCGCAATAAGCGAAATCAAATTGACCATATAAAATGCAAATAGTTTTGCGCGCGTGTGCAAATTTCGACAATTTCAACAAGTTTGGCAGTAAATTGATATCAGGTGAAATACTCTTACACGCGATGAAGGTCGCCACGCTCTAGTCTTTACATTAAATTATTTAAAATCTTCTACTTATGTAATTAATTGAGTCGTGATTGCTGTCACTGTTGGCGTATGGCAATTTCGCAATGATGGTCTTGATTTGCGATATTGTAATATCGCATTAAAAAAGCGACAACAATCTCTTTGTCCATTTGTCTATTTTTCTAGCGCGCGATTTATCTAGTCATATTGTTTCAAGAATATTGAACAAGTAACAAGACTTCGTTATACTCGTTGTCTCGTGAAAAATAAGTTGCCTTTTAGAAATTTCAAGTTAGAGGTGACAAGAAAGAGCAATTAAGCGGAGAATTAAACATCTCTTAGGAACTGAAACGATTTCATTAACGATGTCACTAAATTCAGATTTGTGAATGTTATAGGCGTGCGATATTTATTACTTTTATTCGCAAACGAAAAGTTGCAATTGACAGACGGTTTTTATTTTATTACGCACATGTAGTGTAGGAAATCAATATTATGGGGGTGATTTGATTTTTGCCTCCTAATATATCCCGCGAATAATGTGAGAAAGTCAACGCCTCGTCATTATCGATTAGACTCGCCAAAACTACACTGTTAAATAGCTTTGCACATTAGCTGCGTCTTGCGTAAAAGCTGCGAATCGAAAATCTAGGTCATGATGTACATGTATGGTAGCGAAGAAATCAAGTCCGAAAAATAACGTCCGACTCTCGGGAGGATCGCATTTGACTGAAAAGCATTTTGCGCGCATCTGCGTTCATGTCCATTTGAGCACGCATTCCGTCCGTTTGATGCGTGCGCCGAACGAAGCAGAATGCATCCTTACCTCGTCGTTACTTTGTACTTGCGCCACTGCATCCGGTTCGTTTGCTGTGCATCACAACACACGCATCTAATCGGTCCGTCACGTCACTTGCTTAATATCTAAGATCACACATGTGCGGCTCACATAGCCACGATATTTACATTAATTTGGCAAATGCCATTAATTTGACACTATGCGCGATCGCACGGCCGTTATAATCTGGTAGAATCGATTGTCTGAACACTGCCATGATGAAAGCCCGCGTTCGTCATGCCTTCCTTCTGTTTTTTCTTTTTCGATGACTTTTTGAATTGTGGGGTGCTGCAAATTGTAAAAGTAATTGATAAGTTTACAGAGCCATTACTCACTAAATGAGTCTCTCAACTAGAAAGACTCCTATGGGAGATATTTGGATATCTGTTGCAATTTGAATCCGACTTTTGTCAAATTTATCAAGAAGGTGGTAAGACTTACGAAGATATGCAGGGAATCCACCAAAAGCTCTGATCCGTGCCGAAATCGTTACCCTCTTGCAGACTTTCAGGCAACTCTTGGTTCAAAGTTTCCGGTAACGCCAAAGTTAAGAATGCGTCCACAAAAGACAATAGGCCAAGTACTATCAACGGCAAAGACGAATCGACATCGGCCTGAAACGATAGCGCCGACAATGACTCAATTGATAAAGTTCAAATCTTGGATTTCTCTTGGTGATTGGGTTTCTCTCTTGGATTTCAATGATGATTTTCATTAATCTCTTTTATGGGAAGATTTTCCGGCACACATTTTTTCACATTCTTCTCGGAATATAATTACTTACCAAATAAATCACGTAAGGCCCAACGATGTGAGCGAGGTAACCAATAATGTGAATCAGAGACACACCTTGTGCTCGCACTACGGTCGGCAACATTTCAGCCGCGTATTGGAAACCGATATTCGCGGCGATATTGACACCGAGACGCGCCAAAATCGCCATGGCGACGGTTAGAGCACCTGAAACACCGCGATAATAAACGATAATAAATAATAAACGACAATGTAAATAAGTCGTGCGCTAAAAGCACTCAGGCTACTTGTCATTTATCGGATCGTAGTTGCGATGAAATTTACATTTTACTGTCAGATCGAAAAAGAAATCGCAGTAAAGCGATTAACTTGCGAGAAGAATAATTATTGTGCTCATTGATACGACTTACCAGGAGGAGTGGCGAGGGCGATTAAAGAGAAAACGCCGCACAAAAACATAGAAGCGAAGCCCATCCATCGTCTGCCCCATCTGTCGAGGAAAAGTGCTAGCAAAATTGCTGCCGGAAGCTCGGTCATAGCGGCTAAGGAGAACGACGTAAACACATCGGGATCCAACAATTTCATGTTCCAAACGTGTCCGTCGAACACTAAGATGATCAAGAGCCTGAAAGTCGACTGTTTGATCAACAACTGATTCGACAGCTGTTTCAAACGTGAGAATAAATTGAGAATATCCATGAGTTTTTATTGGGACACTCACCAATAAATAATAAGCATGATAGTGATACGCGCCAGTCGAGGCAACTTGAAGAGATGCAACACAGTATACTGGTTGTGCGATTGATCTTTCTCAATCATGGTCTTGCAGCTCCTTTCAAATTCTTCAAACACCTCTTGCTTCACTTCTCTGCCATTGACTTTCGCGAATTTCTTCAGCATGTCGATCGCCTTGTCAATCTGGCCGCTCATAATATACCATCTGAGCAACAGAAAATTAATAGCTAACTATTATCAACACACACGGCTTGACACGCGTCTACAGATAGAAAAGAATATTGCTAGATAGAGGGTTACAAATCCCGCTGCAAATAAGACCTTTGGTTGTGTGTGTATTTTTGTGAAAGAGGACAAGCAATTACCGTGCACTTTCCGGAACAAGCCACGGACCGACGAAAGCGACAATCATTGGGAATGCAGTGACGACGCTTAAAATTCTCCAATCTGCAATCCAATATGCGATCCACGGCAGCAGACCAGCGGCGGCGGCAAAGTAAATCCCAAAGGACATGTTTGCCACCAAAGTTCTATACTTTGGACCTACGTATTCGATCACTGCGAACAAAATTCATCATCGGTAATTGCGACGATTTGGATAATTTGCAATCATTTTTGTCATGCCAACATTTCACTACCAAACTTGACTACTAAAACTAAAGGTTTCAATTTATTCTATTTTCCATTTGCAAAGTGGCTCAAATCAAATGTGTTGAGTACACAAAAAATATACAAGTTTCTCTAGTACCTGATTGATACATCCTTGACAAACTGCTTTACTTACTGTTAGACATACACACAAAAAAGGTACACAAAAAATTTCAACGTTTCCTCATTTTGTTCCACACCTTTCATACGTTTGTCGCAAAATAAGAATATAAATATTTATTGCCTAATGCATACCGATGATGAAGAGAACGTTGAAACAGTTGTCGAATGACGAACCGACGATTAGTCTTGCGATGCAAAAGGACCAAAAGCTATTGCAAAAGGCGGTTGCGACAGAGGCGAAGAATCCTACGGCATTGCAGGATACCAACGCCGGGATTCTACCATAATGATCGGCTATGTAGCCGAATATTAGACCGCCGATAATACTGCCGACGAAGAAGGCTGATTGTGCCGCGGAACCAAGGAAAGTTCGGTCACAAATCCATTCGAGCTGCCAAAATAGCACACTTATTATTATAAGCAAAATAGCAAATTTATTATTATTGTTAAAATTTAGCTTTGGCGGTGCAACGGGCTAAAGATCTTTGCACTCGAGTTACCTCGGTGGCGATCGAGGCATACGGTATCATCGTGTGATTGAAGGTCCAGCCTTGCCTACATCGGACTATCGGCCACGATAGATTAGCTTGCCTGACACCTTGTTCAAGTAGCTCTGTGTAATTCACATCGTACATGTAGCATCTCGAGAACCATGTAACACTCTCCAGCTGCAATTCTTCCTTAGTAGCTGCAGGTATCCCTATCGCAATTCTGTGCCAACAAACAAGTTCTTTATGAACGATGTGCGATAACTGTGACATATTTCATCCTTTAATGCATCAGCCTCTGATTTCACGAGCGTACTTACATACGTGCTATGAGCTCACGACAAAAATATTTAAGAACGCGTGTCAAGTAAATAGCATTTTAATTATATATGTAGCACGATTGACGTTACATTAGCGAGATAGCGTACAACTCTTGCGCTTGTATCTTCAAAGATATGCCATCTTTACGCATAGCACGCAATGTTCTATATTCTATATAAATTTCAAAACAAGAAAACAATAATATCACAATAATATCACAATTCTATTCGCGCCAGCGTGTTTATTTATTTATTGTCGTATCTATTTCTGCAGAAAATTCTTTTCATTTTCACTCGAGTTTATCATCTTAAATCATATCGCTGCTAATTTCAACGCAACACTATTTCTTAATAATTCTGCGGCTTGCCACCGCATAAAAATCGCGTAAAAATCCAGCACTTTCAAGCACTCTTCCGATAGGAAGAAGAGCCATTCTTCTCCCTGTCTGTCTTTTTTTCTCAAGTACTCGTGGAATTCTCTCGAGGTCGATGGTCAAACTGGTTTTCTGTATAACTTTGGACGCGGAGAAACCACTGATCGACTAATCTGAATCACGAGCGATTGCAATAACGGATTTTCCTCCGTGATAGTCATCACATCGCCAATAGTCTGACATTGATCGACTATCTCCGCACGATAGATTTCATTATAGTCGAATAATTAAATTAATTAGTTTTTCAATTACAACTATCATGCACATCGTATCGTGAGCGTAATATTACTTTTCGCTAAAAACCTTTTGCAAAAAATTGTATATGTAATAAAAAAATGTTTACCAGCAAAGTAAAATAATGTGATTATTCGATTCACTTTAAATCTGAAATCTCTCATCAAACGAGCAAAAATCTCGTCTCACATATCTATTTGGATTGGCACAAAAACCTTATATCGCGTGCAAAAAACAAAGCAGGAAAGAAACTTGATTATGTATTTCTATTTGTGCAATGTCCGTTTCCTAGCGGAAAGCATGCAAGAAACATAACGTAATTAAACGTAATTATTTCTTACCCCGAAGAAAATTTTTTTCTCCAACACAAGGACGATTGATTTGTGTTTAATGTGGGAGAAGAAATATCTCTTGAATACAACATTGTATTTTAATTCTTATTTAACACGATTATTGTACAAACTGAAATATACGCGCCTTTATTAATTTATTTAAAACGCTATTACATACTATACTATTTAGTTGTGGAAGAGTTGGATAGAGATATTGCTCAAAATGATTCCTTTACCGCTCGCAGCATAATACAAATTTTATGTTTCTACTAGCTGAATTATTAGACACTCGTTTGTATGATGTAAAATTTTATTATCGAAAATAGATAGGGGATGATTCATCTGGTCGCTCATATATTTTATATTCCTAATATTTTGTCGGTCTATAAGAGATTTCGTGTCTGAATTCCAAGAAACTTAATTGCAACTATTTCTCACGATACTCTTTATTAATGCTTTTCTCCAAAAGAGCTCGTAAGAATCTTGAAACTTTTTACTCGTTAGTAACTTGAAAATTCTCTCTCAATATCTTTATCTCTCTTATTATCTCTTACATCGAATATATTTGCAAAAAATCCGCGCAGAGGTGAATCTATGTATTGTTGTTGTACAAGCCAAAACAAGGTGTCCCTCGGTCAGTTTACCCATCACGAGTTTAGGGTGAAAAGAATTTCACATCCTATCCTATCTGTACGTACTGGTAAGATTACCTCCTCAATAAACTCACTTTTCATGGTCGGTGAAATTCCAGTGCTCCAATTCTGGTATGGTGCACCAGTGCTCAGCCGGCACAAGAGTAAGGAAAAACTGCGCAAAGTACAAAAAGGCGTAAACGAAAGTGAACGGTAGGAGCAGAATGAACAGGAACCATTGATATCTGCTCGCTTCGCCGACGTACGGTAGGATGTCGTCGAAGGTCTCGATCTTGGCGGGACCGTTGCCCTCCTCGATTTTCGTCGACTCCACCATAACCGTCATTGTATCTGCGGTATCTGAAAGACATTCGTGAAAGACTCTTTTAAAGACTTCAAACTCTTATTGCAACCAACATTAGAAAGATGGTTCAGTGCTATTGCAGTGCTGTGGTTGTTGGTGCTATTTACACGGAAATATAAGTCTCGTCCGCTGGAATGTGAGGAGCGATAATGACACGCGGTACAAAAACGAAATACATAACGTACTATTGAGATGAAACATTGGTCACAACGATAATAAGCAAAGCTGCATTTGCGAATGACAATGTGCGTAGGAATTTGCAATTCTTGCAAAAGAAAGGACAAACGAAGAGTTGTGCCGTGATTGTTAAATGGTATTTTCAAATCGATACTACGACTCGTAACTCTGCCTTTATAAAGAATGCCTATATAAAGAAATATTTTTCCATCAAATATGAATAACCTTGGGCAGAATATCAAAAATATTCAACAATAATAAAAATTATCTCGAAAGAGATAAAAGTTTCTTAGCCGAATCTTAAACGGTTCAATAAACGCGTGACGGTTGTGTTGATGCAGTGATCGTGTGATGACATATAAGATATGTTGTTATAACAATGCTAACAATAAACGGCGTATTGTGTATTTGATAGTTTCGGACTTTTATTGGTATTCTAATGGTCGCTGGAGAAGAATGAGAGTCTTTTCAGACATTCGACAAATGATAAACTAACGACAAACTAATTAAAAGTTAAACGTTAGATTAATTAGCAATCAACAATAAGATTGAGGGTGATTATAAAGTACCAATTTTACAACATATATGTTTGTGGCGCACGATCGCCACAATGCACATGTATCATTTTGTGAGTATTTATTGTTACATAAGAAATTGTGATGATCAAGTTGCTGAAATTTGCAACATTTTCCTAAATATCGAAACGGTGTTGCATCAATAAACTTGTATGTTGTACACTGCATTAATTTAATGCGCATGTAATTATGCTGAGCAATTATATCATTCCCGACAATACGTAACGAGAAAAAGACGCGTACTACAAAGTCATCCGCGTTAATAATGCCATCAAATATTCATAAAACGCGATATGTAAGATATTTTTACAGGAATTGTGATTTTTAATTGTAGCGCTGTATAATATGTATTGCGATATAATCAGACAAAAGTAGTGCTGCAATATTGACAAAAAGTCGCAAAAACAATGCGACTTTGTTTATGTGACATTTCAAATTATACGATTGTTAATGTTACAAGATCCGTATTAAGCAAAATATGTCTTAGAAAATTTTGTAACACAATTTGCATTCTCTTCTTTTTAAATATGACATTGAAACTTGGATTTGGAAATTTTAACTCATCAACTACTATTACATCTCATTTATCGATTTCTTGCATACTTTATCTCATATATCTCTTTTTTCCTTTCGTATCGCTTTCCTTTAATCGCTTTGATTTGCTTTATTCGTTAAATTAATACTTGAAGATCTTATCAAATTTTATCAATTTTCTAACATGACAAATTTAAGTAATTAAATAATTAATTAACTTTTTCAAGGCTTTTTCATAGAAAATTTTATATGTCAATGTAAGCATGAAATATTATCTACTATAATATATGTAACTTAGGACATGACGAGTGACATAAAAAAATGTAGAAAGAGCGATAAATTAAGAAAGTAGAAGAAAAGCAGGTCAATAGTATCAAGTATTGAGTCTTCGCCAGACGAGATTTTCTTTTTATAACATTTTCATTGTTTGCATCTATAATTCAAATTATTATTCAAGTTATCACAATTATCACACGTGCGCGCGCTCACACACACACACACACACACACACACACACACACACACACACTATGGGTGGTGCAGAATTTAAAACAACTAAAATCATGGTTATTTGTGATGGAATTTTATGCACTAAAGAAAATTTTACGACATTAATTTGAGAATTATTCTCTACGTTATGTTATGTTATGCAAAGAAAAATAAAAAGTAAGTTTTGACAAGTGAATAAAACAGAGAAAAAGACAGTCTTTTACCTATCGATCTTCTCCGTGCTGAGAATAGAACACGGCTTTTCCGTCTAGAAAATTATAATAAGACGCAATACTTGCACAAAAACAAAGTTAACTATTCACAAAATAAAGATTTACTTTACAGAGATTATAAAAGTGAAAGAGGAAAGGAAATATATATAGGTACGAGAGAGGGAGAACGCGATATATCTCGGTGTTGCAATAAACTCTCGCCGATTGATCACACACTTTGTCCGTGTAGAGAAAAACACTTTTCCGATTTTTCGTATGTACTACTAATCTTTCGGACACTCGCGCACTACATTGTCGTTTCGAGAGAGCGAATGTAGACTGTCGACGGTGCAACTGATTGGTGTGGTTTTATAGCCTTCCGTCGACAGAAAACGCGTTCTTCCCCACCTTGATGGACCGGTGGATGGAGCGGCGGCAGCAACGGTGATGACGATCGAAGAAATGCGAACAAGCCGAAAGACCTGTGTCGTCGGCGACCGGAGCTGCTGTAGTGAATTGTGTTCTCTATGACGTCGTTGCGGAACACGCAACGTGGAAATTCATGATTTTACTCTCATCTTGAGCGCTCGTACGCACAAGTTTTTCCCGATTGCATATTTGTTCCACGTATGTCATTACACGAGTGTGACGTGAATGTACTGATATGGAGAACGTGGAGAAGGGTGCGAATACGTCAATCGCGAGATTTGGTCGCTCGCTTAACGAAATTATAAATTCCTTGATATTTGAAAAATCGTAATCAACATTGAATATTCATGAAGAGAATTTATACGTACCTATACATATACTTGATTTTCTTTCTTTCGCTTCTGATTAAATAGAGCAATAAATATTGTTGTATAATTTAGATTTTTTCCGCTATAAGCGAAAAGATAACTCTTTACAAGTCAAATGAGTGTCTTTAAAGAAATCCAGTTTGACAAACTGAACAAATTGGAAGAATTTTTCCTACGTCATTATTTTTACAATTCTAATTAGAAGAAGTAGAAAAGAAATTAATTTTTTGTTTGCTCAAATGTTTCGATAACTAACTGTTCAGAGCAAATATCACAGGACTGTACAGACTGGAATCAACGATATGGAATAATTACTTCCATCTATTTTGAACTGTAACGTAACACTTTGAATCAAAGAATGACAACATTACCGCACAAAAATATTTTATTGAAATATATCACGTATATGGTATTAACTTGGTTTCAACGAGAGGCGAATAAATTATATATGTGCGTTGCATATCTCAAATAAAAACACAAAACGATCAGCAGTGGTACCTTAACTTTCTTCTTCACCAATATGTGGCGAGTTTACCTGTGCTATACAAACAAAGATGACCTTGATACATGGCACACGCACGGGGAAATCCCAAGCGGGAATAGAATCGCCGCTATAGGAGAAATATCGAGAAACGGAGCCAAGAAAGACGTCGGAAGATAAGACCGGACTGTTCGAAACCGGTTGATAGACGCAAATGATCATGGAAGAGTGGCTTCGGTGTAAGAGAAGGAATGTCCAAGCATCGTTTCGTGGGATGGAGGATAACGACGGATAAGATCTTTGCTTGTATAAAGGAAAAAGTCCAAAAAAAGGCGGAGAATATTCGTGCGCGCGCGCACAGAGTGACGTCACGGGGGGATCCAGATTGTTTTTCTTCTAAATGTCACCATGTGCATATGTCGATACTTGATATTCATGTCAGATACTTAATTTTTTTTCTTTTTTCTCGTACATTATTTACAATTATTTAAATTCAACTTGATTCATTCCCATGTGTGATTAGCGACGAATTTTTTTACGCAGTAAAAATCTATCCTAATAGATTGGATAGAGCGATGAAAATAGCATTACGTAAGCGACGATAGCAATACAAAATTTCCATTGCTTTGTATTATAATTCTGATGTGTCAACGAAAGTTAAATGAATTCGGCGCCGGCGGGACTAAATAATGTTCGTCCAAAACGATTAAACTGACACGAATGATGTCAATTTCTACACTCTGCTGAAATGATTGAGAACATTGTGGTATGAATTTCTTGTATGGAATCATCCTTGCGACTTGCAAAACAATTGTAATAATTGCGTAAAAGGCTTGAACTTAACAATTTAACTGTTACAAGAGAATGCAATAAAGATGACACGCCAAAAGCAATTAGTATAGCAATGCATGTCGAAAGCCTGTATCCCTGTAACTCGACTAGAGACACAAAAGAATTTCACAAATTACGATTGTAATGTGTTTTAGAAGAGCAAAGAGAGAAATCTTGAAAAAATCATCAATGACTTGCACATTAATCAGCGTTTGATTTTCGCATAATTATGTTATATCATCCAAATATTATGTCGTCTAGAGATTATAGTTGCAGATTATACCAATTTAGTTTTATCCGTTATAGTAATATCGACGGAATGCAAGCAAATCACGCATGACAACAAATTGCAACTAAACCAAAATCACAGCTAAAAATAACAAACGTTGGAAATAAGTTTTTTCTGTTTTTTAATTGGAATAAATTAACTATGGATGCGTGCAAGTACGTAACATGAATCAAGATATGCATTATGCATATTGCTTCCTGGAGACAAAGAGACATCGCCGTGGAGGAGAAATTCGCTTCGCTTCGAACTTATGAATCATTATAGTTATCAACAAAGTAGGTTTTTTTCATGAGTTCGAGTTACAGGATAATCTTGCGATTATCTTAGTGAAGAGGCTTTTAAATTATGAACTTATTATTTCGATAAGTCGTGTTTTCTATAAGCCATGGCTTCTCTACAAGACATGGCAGTCATGGCATTTTATGGCACTTTATGGCTCTAAAAATGTCCTTCCATTTGTCTTCATAATCAAAGACTTTGATGGTCAAGGATAAAAAAATTCGAGCAACATAAAAAAGCGCATGTCACTTTAACATTATTCTTTTGTCTATTATTTTATCATTGCGCGATTTTTCTTTCTTCCGTGACGAGAGAGACTTGATCTATTGCCAGAAGATCTGAATTCAGATCGATTAATAAGTAAATCGAATCTCTCTCACGTTAACTCGATAAAGCTCAATCAATTTCTTCTTTGTACTCTCGAGTGATAATAGTAATAAATTATAATTAGTGGTAATACATTGCTATAATATTAGTAATGCCGATAAATGATTGCATTGATTCAATGTTTGTGACGTGTAAACAAAATTTGCCATTGTCAGTAAGGTCACTTGGTGTTAGCTTCCATAAAAATATTAACATATTGCTGGCAAAAAATAAGATCGAGGTTAGCTATATCCGGTTATATAAAGACTTGTACATAATTGGTTTTCTTTCCTTCTTTATATTGATTTATTCTATTCAAATCTCTTTTTATTTAAATTGTGACGGGCGCGCGAGATGTCTTATAATACATATGTATATAATCTGATCATCAGACGTTGAATATTTGAGATTTGAGTCGCGGGAAGAAAACTTGATTTATCTCTAATCTATGGAATGTAAAAATGCGTCATGAAAGTTACAATGGATATAATGTTCCACGAAGATAACATTAATTGCCACTAGATAGGACGGCGTCTTGCGAATCAAAGATTTGATCGAGATTTGCGTGTATAATTTACAATAGCAAAGTGTGATTGTCTCTAATTATCAACACATCTTCTGCTTAGCTCATTGCGAAGAAAACAATTAACAACAAGACAAGTAGTAAATCATAATTTATTAGCGGATTTAGATAGCTAACGAGGACGTCTTTACATGGCTGATACAGAATGACAGCGTGCAATCAAATTCGTCCAGGTGTATTAAAACATTTCATTATACCAAGATGGGATTCATCCATTTGCAGTTCATTAAGAATTCATCGTTGACGTTACAATAATATTGATTAATATAATAAATATGACAAACGTAGCGTTAAAAACGCAAATTAACAACATTAGCATAGCAGATTTTTCTTTCCAAAAGTCTTGGAAACAAAATTGAAAAGAGAATAACAATTGTCTCAAGTTATCTCAGAGACCAAGATAATTACTTCAAATATCACAAATGGTATCGGATTGTGATATTCAATTTAATTCAATTCATGTAAAGGAGAAATGGTTTCAAAAATTAAAAATTTATATTTTCATAAAATAATTAAATTAAATAATGGATTATTTTTTAACATTTCAACAACAAAAAAAGTAAAATTATAAAATAAATTAGCACATTTTTTGGCAATTTTTGCATTTTTTTTCTTTTTATTTTTAAAATTTGAAATTGGTCGTTTTTTGTTTTGATTGTAGCATTTTATTGTTGCATTCCAAAAAGTCACAGTCATAATTATTACTGAGTGCACAAAAAAATCCGATTGCGCAAGGAATCAGGAATAGTAATGTAACATAAAGTACGGACACACGTGGCGGCATCTAAGTACATCAACAATTAAACTCAATTAATCGTTCTTTGGATTACTTAGTTGGAACAAAATCGCGCAATCTTTTGTAGCAGGGGTGCTCAATTAGTCGGTCGCGACGTGTTTTTTGCTAGATCTTGTTCACATTTTGATTTTTACTTTGTTTGATTTTATTATAAAATTTATGTTTTTAATTTTAATATTTATTTTGTTCCTATTCATTTGTTTATATTTTGACACTTCTTCTTAGTTTGTCTGTATTGATATGTTTAATAAACGTTGCAGTCACATTCTAATTTTATATTTTTTCCCCCGTACATGGGTAGATCGCGAGGTCGCTCTATTGAAAAAAAGTAGCTCGCATGTACAAAAAGATCGGGCAGCACTGTTTTATAGGGATGGTTTTTGCCGAATCTAGGAAACGTAATGCAGCTTCCGCGGTCATGCGCATTAAAGAGCGCGTTTATAAACGTTAACGCGTTAACACAATTACCGCATTGTGAAAACTTGATACAGTGGAAAGGAAATATTGCATTTTCGACGCAACAATATCTTAATCTTAAACCTAGCAGTAGACTCTATAGCAATATTGTGCAATTTATATATTGATATAAGTTTGTAGGTAATTATAATCAATGTTAATGCGATCAATGTTAAGTCATTTGTTTTGAACCAGGAAAGTATGCAAAGTCGATTGAAGAAACGAATAAATATCGTATCAGTCGAATATGTTTTCAAAGATAATTAGCAAATTATTCTATTCTATCCATTTGTCTCAGAAATTTTAAGAAATTTTACGAAACACTTTGAGACGTGTTTTATGATATTTAAAGGAGCTAAAGAATGTAGCATTTTTTCTTGGCATAATCATGTTTTTTAGAATACTGACGTTATTGTTTCATAACACGTAAACGCTATTGTATACATATATTGAAGAGCAAAATCTTTTATTGTTAGTAGCCTATATGTATAAGCGAAAAGTATATATAAAACAAATGTTGATTTACGCATTTAACATGCTGTATTATCGAAATATAAATTTTACATTGTGCGTTTGCGCGCATGTTAGCATGTATACGATGGTTCAGATA